TGAACCGGTTTGACTCAAAAGAAGAATTCGCGAGTGTATGAAAGTTTTATACATAAGCTTTACATGGAACAGCAGCACATGGAATATGTATATCTATATTCAGTACAGAAAAAAAATAAATGCTAAAATTTATTAAAATAAAAATTAATAAATTACAACTTGCATGACTTTTCCAGGCTGTTCTTTCATTCTTTTTTTTTTTTAAATAATATAATGGACTGAAGGTAAAATCTAATTTCATTTAAAGATGAAAGTTATTATTATTATTATTATTATTATTATTATTATTATTATTATTATTATTATTATTATTATTATTATTATTATTATTATTATTATTATTATTATTATTATTATTATTATTATTATTATTATTATTATTATTATTATTATTATTATTATTATTATTATTATTATTATTATTATTATTATTATTATTATTATTATTATTATTATTATTATTATTATTATTATTATTATATAATTACAAGAATACATTTATACAAAAAATACAGACTAAAAATAAATAATACTAATTATTATTATTATACTTAATGTTCAGATTATTATGGAATTATGAAATGTTGGTGTCTGAGTCAGTGTGAAATTATTATATAAATGTATATAATTTATGTAATACAATTTACACAACAACAACAACAACAACAACAACAACAACAATAATAATAATAATAATTAACCCAAAGTATCTCTTAAATTACCAACACATTTTGCAGGGGCACAAATGTGATTTTATAAAAAACAAAAAAAAACAAAATAATTAATTAGATACATTTGTTTACATTTGAACTAAACTTTAAAATAAAGCAGAACAAAACTTTGACTATAAATTTCATGACATTATATTTAAATCGAATGCAAATATGAAGCTCTTATATAATGAGTCTGGCCTTTGTCTGTCTGTCTCAACCTAAGATTTTCCAACATGATTGAAAAATAATAATTGATTAAACGCATGACAGGAATCTGCAGGGAGTCCAAATAAAGACATTGTGCATAACATTCTTATGGCATCTCTTTTCAACAGCAAATGCTTATTTTTCTAGGATTTTCCTAAGGGTTACCACATTTTCCGATGTAACATCTATTCTTATTTGATAAAACACTAGTAGTATAGCAGGGCTTACTCAATATCTGAATAAAATAAATAAATAAATAAATAAAAATTATAATACACACTCATCTAAATCTGGAAATTCTCAGAAAGCTTTAGGATTTTAAACAAAGACAGCATTTTTCATTGTATCTGTGTAAGAAAACAAGCAAAGTGAACTCCCTTCTGTACATGCCGACACACACCCTGAATTAACAGGTCACCCTCACTATAATACACCATCTTTGGCTCACCGAACTCTATGTTTTACAGCACACTCCTCCACATCTGACAACCGTGCGTGTGTACAAGCTCACACACAAGAGTTTCATTTACCATGTGTTGTGTGTCTTCCCAAGGGTGTGTGTGGCATAAAGGCATCATTAAGGCTTTAAGCTGTCACGGGTGAGTGCTGTGGGCCATTACCACCACTTTACTGTGCAATCACCTCGCTGATGCTTGTTGCCATGGGCAACAGATGCTGAGGAGAGCTTGTGGTTTTACCCCATCCCTTCAGTTGTGCTGCTAAAGCCACACTCCCACTATAAAAATGGCTGTTTTTTTCTATTCAGAATGAGCGCAGATGGAAATAAAGAGCCATTGGTTGAGGAAGGCTGGGAATATAACAATAGAGGAATGGAGAACGAGTGGAGAGTTGGATGAATGAAGCGCTCAAGGACGCCTTCATTTTTTGGCCCACATCTCTGTATTTCGCCTTTCATCATTGTTAGAGGAGCAATTTGTGGTCATGGTCATGGAGATGGAGCAATGCCAGTACAAACAGAAGATTTTGAAAGAACACAAAGACATGAGCATAAACCAAAATATATTTTTAAAAGCAAGTGAGTCCACACATTATTGTATAATATTAATAATAATAATAATTATTATTATTATTTTGACAAAGGATTATTTTAATGATTATTGTTATTATAAATGTACAAAGAAAAAATAAATAAATAAATAAGTGCATAAATGAATGAATGAATATTGATTAAAAAGTATTTCTGAAATATATTGTAATTCAAATTCAGTAATTTACTCACCCTTATATTTTTCCAAAAATAAATAATAAAATAATACATAATAAAATATTATTAAAATATAATAATAATAATAATAATAATAATAATAAATTATTATTATTATTATTATTATTGTACAAATAAATAAACAAAACAAAACAAACAACAACAATAGTTATAATAAATACATATTATTTTTAAATTAGATTTGAATTATAATTCAGTCATTTAAGTATAATAATAATAATAATATTAATAATAATAATAATTATTATTATTATACACATAAATAAACAAAATGACAAACAAACAAACAAAAAATGTCCATGATCCATTTTGGCAAGTTAAAAAAAAAAAAAAAAAAAAAAAAAAGGGTTAGACAAAAAAA